TTGGGAGAAAGAATTGTATGGTCATTAACGGAACAGAATTAATTGCGGTGGATTGTAACGAAAAATTCTCGGGAGTATGTATTTACAATTTCGACTACTCCATCGAGGACACTTATTGTAGACAAAAATTAGACGAAAACTGTTTTGCCAGTACAATAGGTTTCGTCGACAAATGTTTTTGCGTACAGAGTGGGAACCAAACCGATAAATCCTGTGATAAACTAGCCGTATTGAAAGATCCATACCAAAAGCGAATTGTGGCAAAGAATCTCTACCGCAATCAATTTTGTTGGATAGGTAGAAATTCTATATCAGACTTGAGCTTAACGACGCACCCTGATTGGTCTAACCGGACAAATCGCAACAGGAATTATAGCGTAATAGGAAACGATGGAAGAATATTTGAATACGGAAGAGAGCTAGATTGTGCTATCTGCGAAAGAACTATCAATGAAAATAATCGCGTACGCCTGCAACTCAAACACAACCTTACAAGTAACTACATTCAACTGGAAATTTTTAACGCAATTGATGCATATCAAGGTGTCATATGCTTCACGGGCAACGTGAGGAATTTTATTAATCTCACTATGTCTACTGCTGAATATGTCGTAGTGCATCTTTGGCCATACAATCAAGTTAAAGAAGATACTTGGTGTAAAACCTTACAACTACCTCATATGGATGTGGTATTTAGCAATCACATTAAAAAGAACACGCATGAAGGAAACATATTTTCTGTCACTTGGACCGCCCCCATTACCAACATTTCATATTCGGATAATATCTCTTGTCCATCTGTGAAAAGCGGCATCGTAAAATATATAAAATTAGTATCGCAGCTCACAATTCACGAACTAAATAAGACTGAGATAGTGTGTCATTTGCATATAATTCCTACCGGCTACACTACTTTAGACGAGTACGCGATTTTGAAAGAAGCGGTGAAGAATTCGAGTCTTGTTTGTGAAAACCTAGGCAGTGTGAATATGTGCTTCGCAACCGAAAGCACATCTGGATCCAAAACGTTACATTGGCCACAAGCGAATGTTGGTTGTACGGTGGTGTCACAAGAGCTTTGTTTTCAAAGTGATGGCCTTCCAGTGACCCGAACATGTTCCGGAAACGGAATCGCTGCGGCCCATTGGTTACCTGTGGTTGGATCATGTGCAGAAGTTTCCATTCCACCAGTTACGGTATTATTAAACGAAATTCTTCGCGCGCCTCCCGCAACTGCAAGTAGGGATCTTTCGCTTCTTACAGATCATGAGGAGAACCTCGACGCCTTCCAAATTCATTTAATTTCTCAAATACTATCAAACATGGCCACAAATAATAATGTCAGTATTAAAGATACAATGTCTACTGTCAGCAATATGATGAAATTTCCACCGAGCAATTTAAGAAGCTCTCAATCGCTTTTGAACTCCACGGATATTATTCTATGGAGCTTAGACGAAATTCTCCTTCACGTTGCTACCAAAACGGACGCTAGTGGTTTCATGAGCGAAGGGGATGACATGTTACTGATGCAAGTCACGAATCTAAAGAAGACAGATATAACAGGATTGAAACTTCTATCATCTGACTCGCAAGGCTTCAATAAAACGAGCTTGGAAACTTTGCGTCATTCTCCCAGCGGCAATGAAATCGAGGACAATGTAGACTTGGCGCTCATAATTCCTCAAGATCTTCGCACTGAAATTATGGAATGCGCTGGGTCTAAGGAATCGCCGAACGTTATTACGTCCATGTTCCACAATGACTTATTGTTTAACGAGAAGGGCAATGCAACTGGTAAATGCGATGGGAAAATACTTAGCGTGCTATTGCCCGGTTTTAACTGTACGTTTTCTGCTCCGCTGCAAGTGATTTTCAGAGCAAACTCGACGTCAAACGGCGAAGTAAAGTGCGTATCGTGGTCTTACGGTGTAAATGAAATGATGCAGAGCATACACGGTCATTGGTCAATAGAGGGAAGCCCAAAGGACTTGGGAAACTCATCGTACAAACTTTGCGAATTTTCGCATACAACGCATTTTGCTTTGCTAGTTTTAGGGGATACGCAAATCGGTGAGGGACATACAAAGGCACTAGACGTAATAACTGCAATCGGAAGCGGTTTATCTATCTTAGGAGTCTTAGTTATCTTGCTAACGGCAGTTCTGTTTAAATCTTATCGGGCAACAAACGGTGTCGTGATTAATTTCTCAATGTCAATGGGGGCCCAAATTATTTTTCTGTTCATTGCTGGAAGTGCGGGTCACGATTTAACGTTGTGCACGATATTCGGCGCTCTTTTGCATTACGCTGTCCTTTCGCAGTTTTTTTGGATGTTAACTATTGCGCTGTTGCAATATCAACGTTATGTTATAATTTTTTCGAGTCCGCCCACTCATTTAGTTGCTAAATCGTGTTTATTCGCTTGGGGGGTACCTCTTATACCAGTAATAACGATAATTTCAGTATCTACGGCAAATTATGGAAAAAATTCTTCTGGACTTTGCTACGCTTTAGGAAACTATTTTATATTTGGCGTAATTGTGCCGATTGTCATCATTACCATTGTAAATTTGCTTATATTTCTTAGAATTATGGTCAGTATTATTGCTTCACGTAGGATAAAAGTTCACCAAGACAGAGCCCAAGCCTGCCTACTTCAATTAAGATTAGCATTTATGTTGTTTTTCTTATTAGGTCTCACTTGGTGGTTCGGGTTTTTCGCAACGATTGGGGGAGGTGTAGTGTACGCGTATTTATTTTGTTTGACCGCGACCCTTCAAGGTTTTGTATTATTTTTATTCTTCATAGTACTCAATGAAAAGACTAAATCGTTGTGGATAAGTATAACACGTTGTTGGCGCAAATCGAAGGATTACGATGTCACGCAAGATTCCGCATCTTCGGTAATGATGCGAAGGAATCAAATCAATTCCACCGATTCGTGCACAGATTCTACTAGTGACGTATTACGTAGGCTTAAGAATAGAAACACTTCCGAATTTTAAAAGCTCTCTTATTGGAAATTACTGATATCTTGTACTGAATACATGTAAAGACTGTAGTATATTATTTCACTCACCCATCATCGTCCTCTTCCTCACTATCTTCCTCCATGTCGTCTTCCTCTTCAGCATTGTCATACTCGTCTACGTGATTAGTAGTAGGCTCGGCATCATCGAGCGCATTTTCACTATCCTCCATTTTTCGCGAACTTGTTAAATAACAAATTTTACTGCACAAATTGTTTAACACCGATGTTTAACGATGCGTATTTATCAGTAAAGTAATACTATATTTGTGCTTTGAAGCTCTAAGCTGTTGTCCTTGCTCAGACTTAGCTAAATAGGATTGACTAACATAATCTTATTAGAAATTGTAACCCTGCAGAGGTATTTAATTTCAACTATGTTCCCTGTTTTAATTATTACAAAGTTTTATCAAATTTAATTAATGACTTTATATAGATCATTAATAAGCGTAATTTGTAGGAATTGCCCCCAAGGAACATAAATTTCGACACTTATAGTAGGTATCATATATAGGAAAAATTTATCCGTTTCCTGCATCTAAATTTGCATGAGTGTAATTATCGCACCTTCTAAAGCCGTATCACACTATAGATATAGATTTTTTAATCGTTTCTAATTATTTCATCTAAACCGTAACGGTTCTTTTCATTTCCTTCACTTTCAACTTACAATGTAAGCAGTTAGCACAGCAAGTAATAGTGGAGGCGGCATTTTATTATGAAATCAAGGCAATATAGTAATAATACACCCATAGTATCCATTTCACCTGCAGTACCAAAACATTCATCCCCTAAGATTAAAGGTGTCGGCCGTTGTCTAATACGGTTTCCAATATTTATGCAATTGTGATTAGTTCCTAATTCGGTTAATCATAAGAATCTGCAGAAACTGATCAATGAGAAAAAAAGGCAGAAAAGTGTGAAATTAATCCTAAGAAGAAAAGATAGAGAAAACCTGGGGAATCTAAAGAAATTAAAACAAAAGAAGAAACTGAAACTTAAGAATGGAAAGAATCCCAAGAAATATGGAAGATTTTGAAGAATCCTAAGAATCGAAAGAAAACGGAAAGTCTAAAGAAACGAAAGTATCTGAAGAACTAGTACAAATCCGAAGCGCTCCAAAAAGGGTTCAAGAAATCTAAAGAAATTAAAGTATGTCAAGATTCTGGAGCATTCGAAGGATCAGAAAAAATTTGAAGGATTCGAAATATCGGAAGAATCTGAATCATCTGTAGGTTTAAGATAATGTTTTATAACCACAGAATCTGAAAAGAAGTCGAAAAAATGAGTTAATCCTAAAATTTCTAACAATGCAATTTCAGGAACTGTGTTGTAGTTAAAAACAAAACAATCAAGAAAAACTATCTATAATATTCATAGTGTAGCGTCTACGTGCTGAAAATTGTTGTCCACGTCAATGTTAATTCCTAAACTACTAAGGCAGGCTATACCTCTTTCTCTTTTTTTATCGTCTCTTTCAAAAATTCTTACGTTTGAATTTGCTCGAACATCGTTCGTATAAACAAAGGCAAACGCAAAGTTTATATGTTAATATGGAATATCTTGGAAACTAAACGATCAAATCAATAAACGTACAGTCTCAAGCTTAAAGAAGAACCACTTTCCAACCACGTATAACGCATAGTAAGGTAAGAGACGGCAACTTTAACAGACTCGTCACTAGTAATTTTCTAGAATAATAAAAGCAAAAGGAAATAAAATTTTGGAACGTTCTGTATTTTATATGAGTGACGGGTAAAAATAAACCTAATTCGAAGGAACGTAGAAACGGGGCTGCTGTCAATCGGTTCCGCTAATCTAACTAACAGATGACATCCAAATCCTAGTTTTGTGCACATAAATACAGAGACTGGATTACTGCAATGGACAAGTTCATGGATGCTTCTAAATCGCATTCGATTAATATACTTGAAAAGAAGAAAAAAGAGACCCGCAACAATGTCAAGAAAGGGGAAGAAGTTTAGTTAGGTACAGGTACCATATACTGATTAGAACGATTAATATATGTCTTGCCAAGTTATACAATTGCACGCAACTCAGTGTTAGTTAAACGGCGATAAAGAGATTTACTTTACCTGATGGTATCAAATCGTCGATGTCTTGTCAGAAGAACTGGGGAATACGGATCCATGGCCAATATAAGGGCCCCTATGGAGGAATTCTTCTCATTCATCCTATAACACAAACATTTCAATATTAGCATTGTTAATCCAATACATATATACCTTTGTATTATGCTAAAATTTAACGCGTACTCGTGAATGTCTGTCGCATTTAAATTAATAATATTGAATCTGAAGTAAAGGGAAAGTCTTAAAAAAACAGAGAAATGTCAACATTTTTAAATAGGTGTGGATAATTGGTAAGATTCCAAACTATGTGTCCTTCTACACCTACGTTCTAATAAAACATTTTTGATGTTCAAAGTTAGATGCGCTCCAACTTCATTATTAGCAAAATAGTTTATGAGTTTTGTCATTTGAAGTATTTTTCGTCATCTATCGGGTACTTGAATTTGTTCCGAATTTATTCTGATCTGGATTTAATTAGAAACTTCAATATATCAATACAGGTAAGAACTATTCAAGTTTGTTATGTTTCCGAATTGGGTGGAGATCAATAAATTTATTCTGGCGGTTGGGTCAAGTTCAATTTTCAGCTCTAAACCAAACCACTATTAGTCGACAGATTCAAATAATACTTGTACATAGAGCTGGAGGCTAGAGGTAGATGAACTTTTCGTTGCAATATTGTATTGCAGTAAATTTCACAGTTCAGTATTCACAGACATGCTATAGGTGGCGACTGGACACAACATAGTTGCACGTACCTAACTTTGAAAATCGTGTAAAAGAAGTATAAATAAATCAACTATTACTCAAACAGTCAAACGTCACCTCGGTCACTGTACTGCAGCTGCGAATGTTGGTCGTGTGGTGTTGCTAATTATTGGTAAACGCACAAACGTGTCAGCAGTAATGGCTAATTGGCGACTGAAAAAGCTGTTCATTTTTACGGTCTGGTTGCAATTTTCTCTCAACCTATTTTCTATTCATACCGAAATGTTTTCCATCAAATGTGAATTCTGATTTGTCCATATGTTTCATGCAGTGGCGAACGCTTTTTATGAAATGGTTTAACACGTAATGTTTCACATCATGTGCATATCCTTTATACGCGGATGACAGAGAAAAAAAGGAATGCAACGGAGACATATACCTACTATGGACATATTTTCAAAAATACATTTTTTTATCATTGTTGCTTAATCAAAGTTAGAGTCTCACATCTGCCAAGTTTACTCAAGCAGTCTCAAAATCAAATCAAGTACTATTTATGTCCAAATAAAGAACATGCAATGTAAAAAAGAATCTAAATTAACAAAACGAGAGATTTATGTTAATAAAGAAAATTTGTAGAAACATGATCAAAAAATTTAATCGATGGTGATAGTTGGATGGACATTATTGCAATAACGCCTTACAGGCTAATGAGACACACTTTCTACTTGAACAAAATTTCCATTAGGTTATATAGTTTTCAATTGAACCCTCTACCCCATACACTTAAACATGATTTTCAGTAGGGGGAATTTTTTGCCACTTTGCATTCGGAAACCACATTTTTAACCCGGCTTTTCAATGGCACTGATCCTTGGACTTGTAGAAGGTTTGACATCGCTGTCTCTTTCCGTTTTCGAGGAACGGAAGGACAAAACCATCTCATGAGGGGAATTTTTTTCGAAAAATTGCTACTTGTGACAACTCAATTGATAGATTTTATTTTTATTCTGAGTACAATAAAAAATGAAAATAACGGAGATATTCATCAACATGCCTTCAAATAAAAAATGTTAACTCTATCTGACAGTGTTCATAAAAGTAAATGTATTCACATAAGGAGAATGCTAAAGGCTTGACTTGCCGCCCTATATTCATGAATAACAAATGCATTTCGTCGCCGTTTTCAAACTACATATTTTTTTAAGTAAAATTTCATTGTAAAGCGACATATTTTTGCAGTGCACCAAACGTTTCTATTTTTTTAATTGATTAATAATTGCACGAAATGCCGACTTGACAGCCTATATCCATAACCATAAAACTGTATCCCGTAACCGTTAGACCGTAAATACGGTCCATTATTGAGGCAACATTGATTCATCGTGTGCATGGAATGATCGTGATGCACAATCCATGGTACCATCCACATGCACCTTGGTACCTTGATTTTGGAAGTGGTTGGTGAGATCATGGATAAACATTAAAACAAGGAGCGGTCAAAGTGTGTTGTCCTGTGGAACTCCCTTGGAAATGCCTTGGAATGTCGACTATGATTCTCTAGATGATTCTGCTCCACTGTGACGCAGTTACGCTTGATGTTTTTATCAAAAAAGTACCATTCAATCCGTTTTGCTAGCGTTCACTTGAATATCAACCGAATTGCATGAAATTGAAACTGGGCATAGCCAGTGCCATATTATCAAATGTAATGTCACCGCTTTGACACTTTTGATTATATATCGTCAAGGCTTAACTCGTGCATGTTCTAGTGTTAGCATAATGTCTATCCATGAACAAGTCCCGCTAGGGTGTGGACCTCTGCTAACAACTCGACGCTATCCAAGATGCGTGGGCCGCATGCATTGAACCTAATGTCACCTTCGGTTCTCAAGATATCTGCAATAAAAGAGGTCTGCAACGAGCGCGGTCGGTTCCAGGCTTTTTTTACCAGACGCGTAACGGAAGATGGGTCAAGGTGGCCACCATTCCACTTCAGATAAATAGTCTTTTCCTTTACGTTGTAACGTTCTTACGGTTGGAATTCGATGAAAACTTTATTTGAGAAAAGTTTACCTTATCTAGTTATCATTTCATTTTGCTAGGGATGCTAAAATTCACCATGTATATGGCAAACTCTTGCTCGCCGGATTTCAACCCCTTTTGGTCCGAGCATTAATTTACTACCACCTATATTATAGCACCCAAAATATTATATTGTTTCTACCTTTAAGACCCACACCATCTCGGCCTTGTATTTTTCCCCTTCTTATTTATTATACCTGTACCGTACTGCTTCAAACTCTTCGTCTTCCGTCGTTCGTCGCCCGTCTTCAGTCTTCAGTCGTCCGCCTTCAGTCTTCGTCGTCCGTCTTCAGTCTTCTATCGATACCTTCAAATTTCTTTCCATTTGATCCCTTCTACCCTCTTCCCTATCCTTATTTTCCCCACCCTTAGCCACTGGTCTACTCGCCGAGTCTGCCGAACAACTGCGGGACAACTTCAGGAGCCAGGAAAACAGCTAAGCACCTTCCAATTCACCGTTATTCACTTATGATTGCCCGTTAAGTTTATTTTAAAAAAAAACCATTAATTCATTAATTCAGTCATCTTACCATCCGTTTAATTAATTATTTTAGTCACTTTTGTGTCTTACTGTGAGACGAGATCTCGTTCCGTGATTTTTTTTGCTTTAATTCCCTGTTATCGTTCCACTGCCATTTCTCATTCACCACCATTCGCCCTACAATAAAAATATTCCTATTTCACTACTTTTCTCTATTTTCTCCTCCTTATTTGTCTTGCATTTCCAGATCACCAGGAGCAGGGTTCTAGTTTTTCCTGTACGGCCAATTTAACGAAAATTAGTGGCGCCTACATTCTCCGAGCATTTTTTTCAGTTTCGTCGGACCACCCCATACCACCGAGAGCAGCTGGAGCCGTAATGCTAGATTCTTCCCTTTCCTTCTAAATTTTCTTCGTCACAGTTTCTTATTTCGAAATAAAGACAATATTGTCCCGAAACTTTCCTCAAAAGTGATCAAAGTACACTAGGTGTTCATGTATTTATTGCGACCAGTATACACTTCAAATCAGAAGTCGTTTGGCCCTGCATCATTGATTTGTGAATCAATTTTAGACAAAACAATAAATTTGAATTTGAAATTTATAGAAAAGCTACCCACACATATAATATCATCCCTGCATACAGTTGTAGTCCTTATAACCATAAACTAGCTGCAATTAACTCACTAGTATACAAACTATTAAACGTTCCTACAAATCACGACAATTATAATAAGGAACTAAAGATAATTAAACAAATTACGATTGCTAATGGTTTCCCTTTGACTACTTTACAAGATATTATCAACAAAAAGAAAAATAAGATACAGTGGATGAATTTAACAACTTTAACTCCTATTACACAAAATAATTACAAATATATCGGTACAATTCCTTATATAAATAACATTTCAGATTCAATTATAAACATTTTCAAAAAATCTAATTTCTAACTAGCTTGTAAACCCTAAATATGTCTCTCGGAAACCATAAAGACAAAATTCCCCCTTTTGAAAATTCCGGTGTATACAAATTAACATGCAATACTTGTAAGGGTTTATATATAGGAATGACCAACAGAAATATAAAAATTAGAGCTAATGAACATTTTAAAGAAATTAAAAACAATCAAATTTGTGATACCAAATCCAACTTTGCTTCACACATATTAAATACTGGCCATGAATTTAAATTACCTCAACATTTAGAGTTTTTACACAAACACAATAATTATCACAATTTAGTAAATCATGAACTTTTAGAAATCCACAAAAATATTAACAACCTAAAAATATTCAATGAAATGATAAGTGAATGCCCGTATCTTCTAACAAAAATGTTAAATTTATATCGTTAAATACCACATATTTAATATATTTATATTTAATCTATATATATTTAATCTAGTTAGTTTAATTCATTAATTAAATATAAACGTCGCTTTCATATAAATTCATATACATACAGGGTGATTCCTATAGTACCTGCCACCGTTTGGGAGCGTATAGGGGGTGCCTAGGGGAGTATTTTGATATAGGACACTTGGGGGCGGAAATCTAAAATAAGGGCGCCAGAACCAAATTTATCTTCTGGAATTTCACGCCTGTATGTAGGCAACCCAACCGACCGACGTTTCGCGCGGAGCGATGCAGAGCGAGGTAGCGCGAGGAAGCGACATGGGAGGGAAGGAGGGAAAACGACAGTCAAAAGCAATAACGTTTACAAGTGTTCAACGTGGCCACCGTTGTTCTCAATGCACTTCCTACATCTAGCCAACTATTATTATACTATTGCCATAGTGTTTATTCACTTGATACGCGTCGTTGCAGACGGGATTTCGTGGGTTTAAACAAAATTCTGATCAAGTGTCAGCCACACATCGCCGCCTGAGATCGCTCCGGGTGCACCGCCGGCCGGTTGGGTTGCCTACCTACAGGCGCGAAATTCCAGAAGGTAAATTTGGCTCTGGCACCCTTATTTTAGATTTCCGACCCCAAGTGTCCTATATCAAAATACTCCCCTACGCACCACCTACACGCTCCCAAACGGTGGCAGGTACTATAGGAATCACCCTGTATATGCACAATTTATATCAGTGCGAACTATATGCATATTATTTAGCAGTTCGATTTGCTTATGTAGCAAACGCCCCTCTTGCTCGGAAGCTCTTGAACGCTTCCGAACGCTCCCGAGTATTCTAGAATGTTCTCAAACAAAACATGTCATATTTCCTAGAAACATTACGTCCCATTCGCCTTTGTTCTTTATCACAATGACTAATCTTTCATTGCGCCTCGATGGCTATCGGGATATTCGGAAATATTCATACAGAAATAATTTCACCAGCATTTTGATAGATCACTAGCGTCATGCTTACTGATGTTTAAACAGAATAATTTTTGTATGAAGATGTCTGACGTATTTGTCAATTTTAGAATGCTTTTTTTCTTCATGATGCATGCGAATAGTTAAATACACTCTTCCAACGTAGGTTACTAATTCTCTGTAATGTTCCGAATATTCGGTGAAATGTGGGGATTGGAAAAAGTACATATTATTATCGAATAAATTGCGGAAAACATCTCGTTCAAAGGTTGATGCGTACATGAAGTCAGATGAAGCTCGAATAATTTGTTCAATACGAAGACACAATTGAAACATTTCTTCAGATGGATATGACAAGAAACCTCGATTTTTAATATCGATTAAGGCCGCTGATCCAGGTTCTCCAACGATACACGAAAAGCATTCTTGACACGTATTGAGGGAGCAGCTTTCTTTAAACTTTTTAACTATAAATCCCGACACATATCTTACAACCTCTTGAACAAAGCTTAAAGGTACGTCGAAGACGAAATTAAATAGGCCAGTTTCTTGGAAATCATCTTCACATGGAACTTCGGTTTCAGAATGTTTATTTTTTACAGAACTTGAAACTGTAAGAAGTGGAATGTCGTCGGGTGAACAATTTCCACTTTCCACAAGAACCATTTGTTGTCGACTAATCAGGCGGCGCATTGCATATTGAAATTGATAGCAAGTAGGATTATTTGTGAATCCTCCTCTCATACGAATGGCCGAGAAAAACGATTCCAGCATATCTTGTAGAACCCTGTAACTCAGTAGGTATTCCCATTTATACAAAGACTGGAGATTCTTATAGAGATTAAAAATGTTTTTTAAACATATGATGAATCCAACAAAACCGCATTTTCTTCTTTCGTATATAAGTTGGTTTCCATTATGTCTTAATCCCAATATATAGTGCTCAATTTCTGCAGCTCTTCCGCGAATTTTTGTTTCAAATTCATCACACAAAGGAACTTTATATGGTTGTTTATAAACATTATTGTTATATCGCTGCCTGCAGTTCAGTATATCAAAAGCGTCATTAAATATACCACAAAATTTAGCCGTTCCCTCGAGATTGTCACCAACAACAATATTTTGGGATTGTACAAAAATTAGTGCTTCCTTCACTGAATTACTCAGCACCTGCGCGGCAAGTCGCACATTCATTTTATTTTCTTCAATATGAATGTGCCTTGCGGTCAATTTATTGGCAGCGAAAACACCTTCATCTTCTTGAATTTTGCAAAGCATAAGGATGTGCGTCCAATCAATTAGTCGACCTTCACGGTCATGAAGACGTCCCAATTTAGCTAAACAGTTTCGCACATTCTTTAGCATGTGACATGGATCCGGGAACAACCACACGGGATGACTAGTAATTGGGTGAGAAAAATACAATTTCTCTTTTGGAGAGTTTATCGAAATATTAGCTCCCAAAGCTACAACCATTGCTTCATTAACTTTATCACCATCGTAAGTGATAGAGTGAACATTCACTCCGTATTCGTGCAGAAGTTGAAGCATTATCATTACCAAGTTTGCATGTTCCACTCCTGTCAACGTATGAATGAGGAAGTATCCAGGCGTCGCTTTAAATGTGCCAAGTAAATCTACAATCATAAAGACGAGGGCATGATTTGCCTGTACTATGGATTCCTCAAATATGGGCTTCATCGTGAAAGGATCTACACCAACGTCCACGTATCCAAATCTTCTGCCATGTTTCCTCGTGGTTCCATATTTTAGTGATATTTGATCGATTATCAAATTACAAACAAACGGCTTGTTATTCTTTTCTGACGCTTTTTTTATTGCCTCAAGAACGTCTTTGTTGAAACCAGGATTAGCATTAATGGTGCAAAGCCACTTTCTTATTGTGGACGGCGCAGGCAACAGGTTATGAAATTGCGAACGCACGAAATTGTAGGCCGTACTCGAATAAAACTGAAGCGTCATGGGGAACCTGCGTAGCTCCGAACTGTATTGGTCACGCTTTGGATTCGAAGTCCTCTCGTTGAAATACTGGAGGGCATTCGGTAGGGAGTTCTAGTTAAAAGACAATAATTAAAGAAGGAATATTACACAATGATAACGTTCAACTTCTAATATCTACAACACGCAGACACAGTAGGTACATTTGTTTAATCACTAATTCCCAGTGAATTCTTTCAAAATATGTAAGCTTACCGTGATTTCATTTGCAGTGTTTTCATTTAATATTTTTCGGTCCTTTAAATCATTTAATGCTGCAAGCAAATTAGTAATACGCTTTTCCTTCCTTTTAATTCGACGCTTTAAATTATGGATAGTACAGCGTTGTTGGATTACAATATTTTTCAAATAATCAATGGCCATCTTCGCAGTTCTTAGACTACTAATATCTGATGATTGAATATCTCCTGAATGTCTAGGAAATTTTCGCAAACTTGGTGTTTTGTAATGTAAGCGCTTCAGTGATAATTTAGGTTTTGAGTCTGCAATGAAAAGGAATTAAGAATCTTACATATTGTTAAAAATGGTTGCCCGTTGGTTTATCGTCCGACTTTGTGAAAGGAAACCCTGTAGAAAATTTCGGAGTTGTTAGGTATATATACGTGGTAGGATTGAATATGATTTTAATACGAAAGAGGTAGAATTGTGTACTTTCGTAGCATATCCTCGAAAAAAGCTTGATTGAACGGGTAAAAAATGTCTACAATAGGTATTCTTTTTCTCGGATGCACAGTAACCTTCACATTATTTGTAGGAACGTATATAAGTATACCTAGTTGCGCATCCTGTGTGACATAAACGGGTTCATCCATGGTATAATAAAAAGGTTCATCCTTCATTTGATCGGTACTAGTGAGAAATGTTGATAGATTCGAAGTAACTTCGTGATCTATACGATCAATTTCAATTGCACCCTGAGCCGAACAGCAAGGAACTGGCTCAAATGGTCCCGAGGTATTGATCTTTCTCTGATTGAAACTGTCATCATCTATCTCCATTTGGTTAACTACTGACGAATATGAAGCGTTACTTATCAAATTACACTTTGAAATTGTTAAATTGATTCCAACACCCTCAGATTTTTCAATAGTTAACCTTCCGCTATCCACAACCCTGCGAAATTTAATAATAGTTCCAGTAATGGGGTTAAATGTAGGTAATGAGATTACCATTGTCTTAATAGTTAATGGTATACCTATAGGTACCTAATTGTACAATTAAGACAATGGAATCACAAACATGTTTGTACCTTGTATTATTAAGAAACAGAGTAGGAATTGCTGTTTTTTTAAGAAGCGGGCGTGCGTTTGTGTCAGGATTAACAAAATCGTCTTTTTTAAAATGACGACTACACAACCTGATATCCGTTGGAATCGGACCACGAATACTGCAAGCCTTAAACCATAAATCTTTTCTATCACCCTTTGGAAATCTACCAAGTACGAGTAGGTAAATATGTAAACTATGTTTACAATTTTAATATATTATTAAACTACGTACGAGACGAAGGACAAATTCACACCGGCTTGCCGCTTACAAAGAAAACACGTTTTTGAAGAATTGCGTCCATTTTTTGTTTGTGTTTTCATGTTTTCGTTTGGGATAGGATTTTCTTGTGGATTTGTCCATGAATTATTAATTTGTCCATATCCAAGGAGTTGAACAGATTTGGACAACTTTAATTGTCTTTGAAACAGTTGATCCCTAAGAAGTAGGTCTAAATTTTAGGAAAGTTACAAAGTAATTTTCTTTTGGGATAGGTAGGTATAGATACGTGGTGAAATACTTGCTCATTAATAAAACGTATGGAAGGAATGCGATCAGTTTTCAAAAAACGTTTACGTTTTGAACCAATGTCCATATAGGCAAAATCGTCATCACAAAAATGCCTATTACAAAGCCTAAGGTATTGCAGTTTACAGCAGATTGATTCAGAAGTCAAGTCAAACGCACTTTCAAACCACTGGTCCTCCTTATTTTTAGGGAATCTGTTTCAAAAATTAATTATACTGTAAAAAACCGTACCATTTACTGCCAACATGCTTATGTTTGTATTTAACGGTTTAAGGGATACTAGTTAAAACTACCTGTGATAGGATATTTGATAGCCTTCATTGTCTTTTTATGTGTCCACAAATAAGGCATAAGGTTTGGCTTCATTGACATATTTAGGCCAGTTAATTAATTACTTATGTGAATTTAAACTTGACATTCACAAATCGGTATTCTCATCGGACCAACTTCGGACAGAACTCGTTTTACCTGAAAACTTACATGCCCCAGCGATGTCCTTGACCGTATTTTATTACAATTAGCAGTCCATGTACTATTATGTCTAGGATCTAAGGGTACTTCCATGTTTGAACTTCAAAATGTCAGTTTTACTACTCTGCCAACCTAAAACTTAACGGCATAAAAAGTGTTCCCAACAAAAACATGTTAGTTCTAATGTTCGCTATAGTTTCTGATAAGTAATGATTTTTTTAATTAAATTAAAGCACCGAAATAGAAAAAATAGTATGAAAAACGCGTGTTACAATGCTTTATTGTAATACTCCTATCTTGCGGACACTCGTAGCTACGCTTCGCGTCGCCACTCGTACCACAAGATAGTCGTATTACAATAGGTCGCATTGTAACACTTGTCTTTCAATATACTATTGTCAACATCAGAAACGTATATTTCATTTGATCAGTATTTATCTGTTTACCGAATAGAAATAATTAAGCTCCTCCACAAAGAATACCGCCACATTTAAACGCAACTTTTTTCTTGGTCGTACTTTCGAAATTCCTTGCTTGCAATTTTTGTAGTTGTTGTAATTGAATTGACGTCCGTAATCTCACCATACAGTTCAGGGTGTCCTATTAATAAAGGCCACAGGCCATTTACACCATGGGCCATATCTATAGATCCGTTAATTGTACAGCTTGGGGAAAAAAGATTTTGTTAACAAAAGAAAAATCGCTGGAAATTATTTTCAAGTTTCTGGGTTTGCCGCTAGAGGGCAACAATTCATGCTTACGTAGAAAAAGATTTTTTTAATGGTGCCTTTAGACTAGCGATTTGTTGTCAGACACTACTGTCACAAATGTAAATAGCATTGCGAGTCCATTTGACAGAGCTCGCGGAAGAATTCTTGCGACACTTTTCTTGCTAGTCTAAACGGGCAAATGTCCAGTTCACCAAGTTCTCGCAGAATTTTCATTTCATTTCGATATTTCGGCGAGTAAACGTGCGAGTTTTATTATATTGTGGCACGTAAATGAGTATCCTGCTTTTTAATTTTGCTACCCCCTTGTAAATTATTACAATTACAATTATTACAATACGTCCTCAAGGTCTACCGCTGACATACGAATAAAATTTTTAAATTGTTGGGATCGATTCTCCGATTCTCAGCTCATCAATTAATTTATGGTAGGCCCCATACTTTTCTCTTCTTGAGATCCAACCTCTCACCCAACATTTCTTTTGTTTCACATTATTGCATAAAACTACTACAGCCGTAGCGCCATAACGTGAGATTAGTACTCGAAAATAACTGCTAGGTACCGACTGACAGATTTTGCGGA